CCAGAAGAGCGCAGTCCTGGGAACAGCTAAGATACTGCGCAGGACCCTCAAGCTCCCAGGCCTCTGGTAGAGGACCCGAGCTTGAAGGATAAACCGCCCGAAAAAAATTGGTCTGTAACTGCAGTGTCTGACCTGCACATCCCATATATTGTTAACAAACAAAAAAACAATTTTGATGTTTGTAACTTTTTAAAATTTGAATCAATAGCAACAGTGTGAAATATGAGGAAGGACAGGTGGGGGTTGGCAGACAGACAGGGGAACTTACTTTGAGAGGTAGAGTTCATTGAGATTGTGCAGACCACAGACTGATTGGGGAACACATTCCAGCTGGTTGTCATTCAAGTAGAGCAATTCCAGTGAATCACGCAGAACATCAGGGAACTCTATTGCACACACTAAAAGAACAGAGTCACAGATAGCAAATTTGCTCAAACACACACAGGAAGATACAGTTTAACCACATACTATACTACATACACAAAAGCACTAGGAAACTAATGGCCCACCTACAGGAATGTCTTGGCAATGATGCTCCAGGTGTACACGTTTGCGCTGATATTAACACCAGAGGAGAATTTGAACTCTTCAGTCAATCGAGTAACTGGAGGCTATTAAGTATCATGTGCCTCAGCAATAAACAACGCTGCTTGGCAACTATATGTCGTCTGCCACTTTATTGCTGAGTTGCTGTGGTTGCTAAATGCTTCCACTCTGCAATTATACAACTTACAGTTAATCCTGGAATATCTAAGAGGGAAGAAATTCCAGGAACTGACTTGTTGCAGTGGTGGTATGCATTGACAGCTCTTTAGAAGAACCATTTCTTTCACAAATGTTTGTAAAGGTAATGTGCATGGCTAGGTACTTGTACTTAAAACACCTGAAAACACTTGTCAACAGACGTTTGGCCAACTTGTTGTGTGACAGAAACACCAGCAAAATACAGAGAGTGTCATCAGCGGCCAGAAGAGACAAGGATGCCACCCCGAGGATGTCGGCCTGTCTCAGCAACGAAAAGCCCTGAGCATCCAACATGAGTATGAAGGAGAGGAAAGCAGTCACATCACTTAGTAATGACAACAACATTCTCATCCTTCTGGCAGACAAAAGTTGGTGCATGGCTTTGCTAAACCAGAAGGACAATGATAAGAAAACTTTGTCACTGCTAAGTGACAAAAATACTTATGAGCCCCTAAAAAAAAGACCCAGGTAGTGGTTACAGGATGAGGGTATGAGATTGTCTGAAGCAGTTAGAACAAGGCAATGCTGTTGACCGGACCTCATACCACAGGCTATACCCAGGGGAAGCTGCACCAAATATGTATGATTTACAGAAGATGCATAAACAGGGTGCACCTTTAAGACCGATTGTCTGTATGATCAACTCAGTCACCTATAACTTCTCAATTCAATTCAGATTTTTTCAGTTCTTTGCTACATAATTACATATGCATATACAGTGGAACCCCGACTTACGAATACCGCATTTAATGAAAAATTCACGTTACGAAGGCACTTAACGGCAATATTTCTGCCCGTGTTACGGCAAAATACCTGCGTAATGAAATTCGCTGGCTCTGATTGGCTGAGCCCAGAATGCCTACAATGCCTTCCGAATCATCAATCACCCTCTTGGCTTTCGTACATGCGCTTCGCTGTTCCATTTGAACGACATATTGTTGTTGCAGTTAGCAATTAGCCTATAGCCTATCGTTCACTCAAAAGGCGCGATGGGTGCTTCGACTTATGAAAATCTTCGACTGACGAAAGACCCTCGGGAACGAATTCATTTCGTAAGTCGGGGTTCCGCTGTATATTAGTGCTGCCAGCGTTAATCTCGTTAAAATGATGTCAACGTGGCAAATCTGTTAGCGAGTTAGCACAAATTGCCCCGTGCGTGGGGCTGCACGAGGTCAATGCGTTAGTGCCGTCCAGCCCCTCACTCGCTAAAGGAGATTTGCTGTGTTAATGCGGTTATGGCATCTACGTCATTTCAACGAGATTAACGCTGACAGCACTAGTACACACACACACACACACACACACACACACACACACACACA